GGCATTGGTCAGCGGGTGGTGAGCAATTGCATTGTGCATCACTTGCTTTGTGTATTGTTGTTGTTGTTGTTGTTGTTGTTGTTATTTTCCCTTCCTTTTCTGTCCTATTAAGCTGTCTTTATCTCAACCCATGAATTTTACTCTTCTCCCCCCACCCCAATTCTCTCTGCATCCCACTCGGCGGAGGGAGTGAGCGAACGGCTGTGTGGTGTTCAGCTGCCTACCGAGTTAAACCACAACAGGGAAAAACTAACAAGGCCTGTTTGATCTGAACAGGCCATGTTGTAAGCTCAGAACACAGCCTAAAGCTACCAGAGCACAGGTAGGATGACAAAACCATTTGCTTAGAGAGCTGGTTTTCCCCTGTCTGCCACTGAAACAAATAGCAGTCAACTCACAATCCTCCTGGAAACCTCCTGCCAGAGAATAGGCACCATTTTGGAAAGGGCTTCTAACCTCCATGTCCTAGAAGGAAACTGGAGCAAGAGGAGGATCATACAGCAGTCAGTCCCACCAGGACAGATTTGCAATGAGAAATGGAGTGGGATTTAGCAGAACTGAACAGAAAAGTGAAACTGATGGAGCACAGTGTTTTCTCTTAGACATACAGCAGATTAGGTCACATTTCTGCACATTTCTTCATCAGTGCTAACTAGTTCTGGCTCTTTCATCTTGTGCTTTACAGTTTGAGAGCTACAGAAACTCTGCCTTCCGCAGAAGTCACAGGCCAGTCAGCAGGAAACGTTGGATGCAGGACAAATACAATTCTTGGGTCTTCTGCTTTGTTACCGCTCGCACCCTGGAAATTGTGTGGTCGAGAGCCATTGACACGTGCCTCACATGTGAGCACCTTCTGTTTGCATTTCTCTGTTTTGCCTCACAAATACAGTGATTTTAGAGTGATGTCACTTACTGTTATTTATTGGCATTGAACACTTCAAACTGTCACTTGCAATACATAATGCAAAGGTGAAAGTTACTGCGTAGTATCCCTGTGAGAGAGGTACGTACTGTTGGCTGTTAAACAAGGAGAAGGTCATGGCACAGAAAGATTTAAAAGCAAAGCTGGCTCCATTGAATTGAGGGAAAAGATTCCTTAGATTTCATGTGGTGGGTAGATTCTTAAAGACTTGATTACGCTCAAAACAAGTTTATCAGAAGATTCTGCATCTATGAGTAAAGATCCAGTTTTCTTGACTTCCAAGGCTGGGCTTTAAATAACTGCAGTATCATCCATTCTGTCTCTTCCACATCTACCTGTATGTTGTGTAGGAAAGACTAGGAGAAACTGAAAGTCCTGGAATTTTCTTTTCAAGTTTGTTTTACAATATGTATCTTTTTCAAAGTTGCACACTTCAGCTGAAGTGCAAAGCAATTGGAATTCTTTGGCATGTCACCTTTGCTTGCCTAGTGTTTATTTTGTGTTTATTCCATGCCCTCAGTGAAAATAGAACTCACAAGGAAATAAATCAGAGATTCATCAGTTTTACTGGTGTGTAAGTTCAGTGTGAATCGCCATCTAGTGTATATTTAAGACATAGGTTAATTACAGAGACTGTTTTAAATCAAGGGGATAAACAGTGTCCTAAGTGGCATTTTATTTCTGTAAGCAGGCAAAGTAAAATATAAAATTTACAGGAATCAAGAGATAGATATTTAGAAAAGGACTGGCAAGTGAAAGTTTAGAGAGGAGATATGAGATTCATACATCAGCTGACAAAGTAGAGGACAAAGATTATCATGAAAAAACAGTGCACAATCTCTTTGCCCAAAAAGGAGGAACACCTACTTTAAGAATCACATAAAATAATAAACAACCTATTTATTCAAGCTGGTTTGCATTAATTTATCCAACATCACAAACTAGACAGCATCCAATACCTGGTTGTTTTTAACTGTATTTTCTTTCATTTCAGATGACTGATTCCTGTTGGTGTGCATCTGATTTTTTTCCCCACTGTCTGATAAAACATCATTTATTAGGAGAACATTTATTAAATCATGGATTCCTTAGTGTTTGCGGATTCTCAGGTCACCTTGCAGATTATTCCATGGATGCAACAGGCGGCTTACATCTCGGATTATTTCGTATTATGGCTCTATAAACCAGTGTAAAAAGGAACTGCCAGAATATTTCAACTTTGCAAGTGATGTCTTAGATGAGTGGTTGCAGCTGGAAAAGGTAGTATTTTTCTTTTACTTCATAGACATTGGAACAAATCTTAGATTATACAAATCAATTTTCCTGATGAATACTGGATAATATTAGCGGCAGAGCAGAATGCACTATTTTGTTTTCTTTGTCAGAAATATAGGCATCACTTTAAGAGACTAGTTGCCAGGGATTATTTGCTTAGTCTGGAGTTATTTTGGATTGAAATTAAACCTTTTAAGGATTGTCTTCTTATTTTAATGTCTTCTGTTGCATTCTAGGATGGAAGACAAGCAGCAAATCCAGCTTTTTGGTGGGTAGATGATGAAGGAGAGGAGGTGAAGTGGAGCTTTGAAGAGTTGGGATTTCTGTCTAGGAAAGCAGCTAATACACTTTGTGAGGCATGTGGTTTGCAGAGAGGAGGCAGAGTTATAGCCTTGTGTTCCTGAATGGTGGTTACTGAATGTAGCCTGTATCCAAACAGGTGAGTAACCTTACTGATCTCTTGGATGCAGAA